AGACATACCCAATTGAAAATTTGACCTAAACAGAGGTTCCAGAAAGTTCAGTGTAGGTTAAAGAGGGATGAACTTGATTTAACTAATTAATCCTCCTTTTCCTGGTTGTGTGAACATGGACTAGAGAGGTGGGCAGCTTTTTGATCTGAGTTTTTTTTTGTTTTTGTTTTTGTTTTATATATCTAATATGAAGATAATATGAACTTTTACATGCTATGTAAATGTTAAATGAGTTACTGTGAGTTATATGTTCTAATATGAATAAATATATATACACACACATTAATACTTTGAGTGGGATATATTTTTCTGTGTTCTTCATCTTCTCAGATGTATAAGCAAATCAAGGCTCAAAGACCTTATGCTCAAATATCAATAGATCTATCATGAAATGGCAAATGTGTTTTCCAGTAGCAACTCATTGGTTCTCTTTCTTTGGAAAGATGAATGCAACCACCTTCTTAATCCTAAATGCGGCAGTTCAGTCTGGTTGACACCAAGGTCACAGCAATTATGGTGGCTTTGAGAAAAACAGTGACATTATCATAGAGTGCATGGGGGTATTCGTCTCTTCATGAGAGTAAGAACCTTTACTTTTAGGGTACTAGAAATCAGAAGAAAATAAGTCCCTGATGGTCAGTAAAACATTATATAATGTGTTTGGTGGAAGTAGTCCAACCATGAAAGGTAAATTATTTCCATTTCATCATCATCTTTGGGGAACATAGTTCAGGTTTGTATGTTTCCATTGCTACCTTGGTGATACTTGCACAGAGGAAATATATCACTAAAGTAATTTTCTCTCAACTGTCAATTACAATGGATATATTTAAATAAAACTCAATGAAAAAGAGTACTTTGAAATCTTTTGCATTGTGCTTGAGAATTGCTGGCAGTGCTAAGAACTAGTGATGGGTTGGAAAAATATTATCTGTATTGACATGCAAATAAACTCACTAAGCAACTACTTTGCTTTAGAGATTTACATAATTTGATATCAAAAGCCACATTAAATTAATATTATTTTCTTGGTTTTAAAGAAAGTTCAGAGTTAAGCTTTTCTTTTCCCCAAATTTTACTACATCTATGCATGAAAACATTGATTCATAAGGAATAAAAACATTTTGGGTGTAGGGATAGCCAGGTTCTGTTGCTTAGACGTATAAGGCTTATTACCCAAAGATGTGTGGGAAGTAAACCTTAAGTGTCTTTTTTAGAGAATAACTTTCCGAATTTATATTTTTTCAGAGTCAATGTAGCTCTGTAAACTCTTTATTATGCACACATCATTTCCTTTTCTATTCCTAGCAAATTTTCATTTCCAATTGTCCCTTCCTTTGCCAGTCAGCATGAGAGTTCCTGAATGACACTTGCATGCCAAAAAACTGGTGTGTGCTCAAGCATACTAGCCTAAATAAAAATTAACAATAATTAGAAGATACATTTGCTACTAAAACTTATATATTGCCTTATAGTTTATTATGTAAGTTATATTTGTATTAAGCAACACTTGTTGAACTTAAATATTCCACATCATTCCCATGCCATGTTTATGGTAGAATAAAATCTAACAAAATTATACATAAACACATTCATGCGTATACTGTTGTTTAATTCTTCCTCTTTCAGAAAACCCATTGGAAGACTTATTATATACCCTGGAATTCTGAATTTGCCAAAAACACTATCTCATCTACTTTTATAATATTAACTTCCTCAATACCAAGGTGATTAAAGCACAAAGGGACCAATTGTTTTATTGTGTGGTGACCTATTTGATGGGAAAGTTAGGATATTCCACAAGGGACCCTACAACTCACTTTAAGAAGACCATGCCCAAAGGACATTGGAGGTGTTGAAGCAGAAGTGATTAAGTCTGTTTGGTAATGGATAATTGGCCACATGGCTGTTACAATGATGTTAATAACAGAAAGTACTTTTTTTCTATCTTATTAGTTCATAAGGGTCTTTTGAACTTGCTAACATATTAAATATTAAAGTTAGTATAGTGATTTGGGGGAAATATGAAAAAACATATTATTCAGGGTCTTTGGCCCCACTAATAAATGAGCATTAAACATGAAAAATGGCCATTATTCAAAGAAAATTATTGATAAACTATTACATAATTTCTTAAATGTAATTTTAAAAGTTACTTTTAAAAAGTCAATTCACTCAAACTTAAAATATTTTAGGCTTATTATTACTTTCTGTATTTCTCTATCGTACCTATTACTACATAAAAAAATAAGAAAGCAATATGTAGCCTTGATAACTTGAAACCCAAATTATTTCATCTTTAATATTACATCCCACCAAACACACATAGTTATTTATCTTGTTTGTAAGAAAAAAGATATCTTCCAGCCATATTTTAAATTTTACTTTTGTCTAGATCAATGTGCCTTAAATAACTGAGAAACAACTGAGAAAGACAATTGAACATGTCATATAACATAATTAAATTATTTCAGTAATTTTTCTATGTACTTTGTTAAAGTTCATTATCTTGAAGTAAAAAGTGCTGTATACATTTGCAGTGCCTATGTAAGGAAATTAATTAATGCTTTAGCAAGGTATCCATTGGTATATTGAATATTCCTTCGATATTATGTGGATAAGTTATAACTCCAAAATATGGTCATTTCTTTGTGTCATAAAGAATTAATAAAGAACCATCACATTTGAACATATTTCATAGGTGTCTTCAAAGATGAAAATTTTATTTGTTTACAGTAGTAATCATATGCTGTATCTAAATAGTACTTTCTGTATACTAACTTTGGGCTAATTGTGGTCAACTAATTTTATCTCTTCAGAAGTAAGATACAAAAGCCAAATATGTAAAAAAAAAAAAAAAAAAAAAATAGGGGGAAAATATTTTAAATTTGCAACCTCATTGAATTTACCTTTGGCTGATTTCATTATTGCCAGTAGCATATTTCAGCATTTAAGTATCAAACTCTGACAATATTAAACTTCATCTGAAAGAATTCCAGATATTGGTAGTTCAAGCTAACTGTTCATATTTGAACAAAGACATACATCTTGGAAAAGTTTATGCAAAAAGAAGTCAATGAGATACTCACATAGTTGTGAAAATGGTGTTTATATATTTTACTGCCTTTCAAGTAAGTTATAAAAGTAAATATGACTGTTGGTGTTTCAATATAATAAAAAATAAAGCTAAAATTAAAGGAAGCCATAATTCTGTTTGAAATTCCACAGTCTGAGTATTTATATCAAGATAATTAGTTTTAAAGAGAAAATTTAAAAATGCATAGAAGAAACAAATGATTTTACAGACATATATAGAAGTCTGTTTGGTATAAGCCTCATGGCTCAGTGTTTCACATATCCTATTTTGCTTCTCTACCTGCCTAGTCTTTAAACATTTCTAGTAATATTTAATGTAAGATCACATGACTAACATAAATCCTACAAAGAACATCTGCTTAGGGTATTAAAACATGGAAAAAACCTTAAAGGGATTTACATTTGACCTCTAATGTTTGCAATAATATCAATTCCTTGTAACAATCACTCTCATGTAGGACTGTGCTGTAAATAAAATGAAAATTTCTACCCAGAGAAATTATTTTAAATTATAAACTCTAAAGCCAAAGTTCATCCTTATAAGTAAAATGTAACTAGAGTGGACATTTTTATAATTAAAAATATAAAAAAAATGGTTAAACTCAGTATAATCTTTAATTGCTGAAAAACATAGCCCTAGCCAGTTGAGCAATACTTATTAACTCTGCAACAGCTTATATTTCACACATTTCTATAAATATAGGACATCTGGTTGCAACATGAACTCCCTCCCACAGAATGCAAAGGAACCCTCACCCCAATCATTTTCCAGCCATCATCTATACTTAATCTAATGTCACTAAATGACATAAATGAAAGATTATAATTTTATTTATCAGACAAACCATCATGCGTCTCAAAGTCTGAACAACAATAAGAAATACACATCACCTGCTAACTTCTATCATTTAATAATTGTTCACTATAAAAAGTACTGTTTGGTGGTTTTCTGCACTGAATTCTTTCTCCAAACACACTGCCAATTGACAAAAGGAACATAGCTTCAAAAGAAAATCTCCTAAGTAGAAAAGAGCTCTCTGTTAAGCATGCAAGAGGTTAAACATTGCTGAAATATCGAGACATATTCTCAACCCACGCTTCCCAGTTCCATTCAATTACCAACAGCAGTAGCGACTATAATACAAGCTAAAACTGTATTATTAAATCAGAGCTTCCCATTTACATCCAACTCTAACCTGAGGGGATGGGAAGGGATGACATTTACTAGTCAATAGCAGAACAAACAGCCCCCAACTTGGAAATACACATGACCTTGGGGTGTAGAATTTTCAGAGACTGAGTTTCACAAGTTTTATTTGGATCCACTGCATAACAGTACATCTAAATGAACCTAGTATAGTATAAATGCTTCTATCCCTAGTACCTCCCCACCAAAAATGTTAAGGGAGCTCAGCACTTTGTAGTCTATGCCTTAGATACCAGAGGTGATAACTGATAAATAAAAAAATCATCCACTCAAATATTTCTTTAAGATTACATTTGTTTTAAACAACTTGTTGGTTGATTGATTCAATGTAATTTATTAACATACTTGGGGGCGTGCATCGAATGGTTCCTGTTCCTTGAACCATGCTGGAAGTGTTGCTCTACAAATGTTTATATTTATAAAGCAGGATGCAAAATGATGACATTAACTTCACACACACACACACACACACACACACACACACACCCTCAACTTCCCCTCTACAATCCAGTCCACAATCATTGATAGATGCTTTTGTAATAATAATGATAATAATTATTTAAATAATTATTGCAATCATTGCCAAAAGTCCAATTTCAAATTATAAAAATAATCACAACTTGCTTTTAAATTTTGTATGGCAGTCTGCATTAACCCCCCCCCCATTTGTAATAATTTATAACAATATTTTTCTTACCTTATTTTAACAGTCAAAAAAAGTCTCCCAGAAAGATCCCTAAAAGGTGTGAAATATAAATCACAATAAAAATAATAATTTAAAAAAAACTAAAAAGATCCTCTTAGCTGGGAAAAGATGAAAATAGTTTGGTCTGAAACTAGAGAAATCTCCAAAGTCACGCTTGAATGAGCGCCCAGGTGGCAAACAGAGGACTCTCTCCCACGTCCGCTACCACACTCCTTTGTCAAGTTGATATAGTCCTGCTGGTGAAGCGGTCCCCCAGGGCACAGAGGGCGTTGCCTCTAAATGCTTGAGCCACCGGTCTGCTCGCGTCCCAGGTTCAGCACCCACAACACAGTGGACAGCACCAGCTCCTCTCACCTCCAGTTTGTCTCAGTCACTGAACCAGGCTGATTCTCGCGCCTCCTCCCTAAGCAAAAGCTGCTGCCACTCAAGGGGCTTACCCCGCCCCCCATGGCTGACGTAAGTATTTTGCATATCAACTCCGGGAGAGGTGTTGGGCCGCCCCCTCGACTGGGCTTCTGCTGGGGTCAGCTGAGGCAATCCAGGCGACAAAATTCCAGGCGACAAAATCCAGGCTTACTATCAGTGTGGGCATCATTGGACTTCACGGCCCATTCACAACCAGTCCTGAAGAAACTAAATGCTCTGGGCGTCGCAGGAGCCTCTGCCCTCCTGGGACTGCCGTTTCGTGCACCCGGAGGAAGACGGGTGCTGGCACAGCTCCCGCAGGAAGATGGGCGGAGGGTGGGGGCGGCGGAGCCGGGAGAGGAGGCTGAGCGGGCGGGTGGGCAAAGGACTGGGGAACGGAATGAATCTATTCAACCACTCCAAAAACACTCGCGACCCTTCTGATCTTCGTGGCCAAACTTTCCTCCTTCTCCCTCCATTTGTTTACTGGAAAGGATGTGTTTGGTGCTCTGTTCCCTTTTTGTCGGTTCACGGAACTGCTAGAGGGAGTCGCTGCAGCAGAAACTTGTTCTGGAGAAAAACATGCTTTGAGCACCAGGAGAAAACGTGCAAGCTTGCAGTGCTTATCATTCGTAAACAATCTTTTCGTAATGTTTGATACGGGTGCTACAGAGTATGTATCAGACTTCATACGTTCCTGTAAAATGTGCAGAATCCTCCCTCTTCATGGTCATAGTTTAACTATATCGTCAAGCTACGGGGCTTTGGGGATTACAGGGTTAAATGAAAAATCATTAAATAATGGGAAAAAAAGTGAAAGTTCTCAGTTTCTACTTCCACTGCCAAAATCCTGAAGGTTGTGCAATATTTATTATGTCTAATATATCAATTGTTCTATGAAAGATGGGGTATGCTGGGAGCATTTTATAGCCTTTAGCAATTTTCTCAGTATATATGATGTTGCTTATCCTGGTGAGGCTCTAAGGGCCTTGACAGCAAAGAGAGGGCTGCCATGCCAGCACATTCCTGACTGCTTAAACTTGTAAACAAGCAACGAACTGAAATGATCAACCATCCAAAAGGACGGATTCGCATATTATCCCCATGGCCCACCTATAGCCATCAGGACTGATGTGTACAAAGAAATGGGCAAAGAAAAGTAAGCCTAAGTTTTCACAAGCTGCCTAAAACATTTTTCATTAAAAAGTTTATTCAAGAAATTTTATAGCATTCAATATATTGTTTTCCCTCAAAAGGCATACATACTAATAGGCGTCGTCATATTTCCGGACACTGATATAATTTTGCACCGGATCTACTCATGAGTGTTTCAAGGACTCTGTTGAAAACAATTGTTTATTTACCTATCAGAAATAAATAATTAATACATTTGATTTTCTGCAATGTTTAAGAAATTATTTGAGGAAGTATATTTATTTGTGGGCTTATGTATACACAAATTCCTTCTAAGAGTCATTTAAACAGGAGCAAACTTAAGGGGGAAAAAAAATTTTCGCCCTGGCCAGTTTGGCTCAGCGGTTAGAGCGTCGGCCTGTGGTTCAGAGAGACGCGGGTTTGGTTCCCGCTAAGGGCATGTATCTTGGTTGCAGTTTGTCCCTGGCCCTGGTTGGGTCGTGCAGGTGGTGGTCACTCGATGTGTCCCTTTCACATTGATGTTTCTCTCTCTCTCTTCTTCTCTCTCCCTCCCACTCTATCTGAACAAAAAAAAAAAAATTTTTTTTTGCTTCTGAGGGAATTTTCTTTTTTCTGCATTACAGATACATAAACCTTTCTTTTCTGCTTTCTTTTAGAATTTGTCCATTTCTTTCCCAAATATAAAATTTCTTGAGGACATCACTCTAACACATTTAGACCATATTATATCCAGATAATCTGTACTATTTTATTTCCTCTGACAAGTATTGATTTTATATAAATATGTAAATGATACGTGCCATGCCTTTCTGCACTGCTTATTACATAGATGTACTCACATACACACATTCCAAAAGCATCTCAATTCCCAAAGTGATTTAAATAATGATTTCAGACACCATGGTAGGGCATGAAATATGACATTTAGAGACAGATGGGCCTTCTACAGTTACAATTACAATAGAGCCAACTGTATAACCTATACCTAGGTTGATCAAAGCACATATTGTATGCTTCTTTGGGAAATACCACATGGCATCTTTTGTTCTGCTTCATGCCAACATGCCAGAATGTCAGCAAAGATTTAAAAGTTCACTGTAGATATATACAGAGTGTGTTATGGAAATTCTTATAAAATCCACCAAAGTCTGTGTCATATGATGCTTAGTAGACACTATTACTCAGTGCACTTCAGTGATCATATTGTTTTGGGCTATGAATTCAATTAAGTCAGGTATAATAATATTAAAAAACCTAAGGATAAGAAACTGGGAGACAAAACTCTTTCAAATATGGACTGAGAAGTAGACCATTTTCTCATTGTCTCTAAAAGAGAGAGAAGGAAAGTAAGAAAAGAGAGAAAGAAAGAAAGAAAGAAAGAAAGAAAGAAAGAAAGAAAGAAAGAAAGAAAGAAAGAAAGGAAGGAAGGAAGGAAGGAAGGAAGGAAGGAAGGAAGGAAGGAAGGAAGGAAGGAAGGAAGGAAGGGAGAGAGAGAAAGGGGGAAGGGAAGGGGGAAGGGAAGGGAAGGGAGGGAAGGAAGGGAAGGGAAGGGAAGGGAAGGGAAGGGAAGGGGAAAGGAAAATGCATGCATGAAGATGCGCTCATGCAGAAGTATTGGGATGACTGCACCTTCCTAGGGGATTCAGGATTTGTTCTGTTCTAACTGGCTACATGACCAAGAGCAACTTATTTAATATCTTTCATCACAGTTATCTTTTACAAAATTTTGACTCTGTACTAAATTATCTCTAAAGTCCCTTATATATATGTCACTTGGTGACTCTACATTAGAATTCAAAAACTTCAGAAGTGTTTTAACTACAATGCAAGATCTTAAGAACTTTTCCCTAAGAGGAAATAATTGGCATCTGGTTACCAAGATGGTAAAAACGGTTCCTTAGGGCAAGTAGTTTGGAAAGTGTGGAAAGGAGACAAGTACCAAGGATGAGGCTAATGAGGTCAAAAAATAAATTTTATCTACCCAGGATGAAACTAAGAGATGACTGAATGGGTCTGCTACAGTATTCACTTGCTTTCATATAAGCAATATTATAATATTCTCATATATAGTTACACATTTCATTACTGTTCAGGATATTTAAAGTAATTGCAAAGCAACAATAAAATGTAAGTTATACAGAAAGTGATTCAATGAATTAGTTGTGTATTGCCATTGCAAAGAGGACAAAAATATTAAGTAAATATACTTAAAGAAAATATCACTTAATAAAAAATATCATTTTATAAAAAATATGTTTTTATTGACTTTTTAGAGAGAGAGGAAGGGAGAGAGGTAGAAATATCAATGTGAGAGAGAAACATCCATCGGCTGCCTCCTGCATGCTCCTCACTGGGGATGGAGCCCGCAACCTGGCATGTGCCCCGACTGGGAATGGAACCGGACCACTCAGTCCATGGGACAACAATCAATCTACTGAGCCACACCTGCCAGGCCAAAGAATATCTTTGAAGTGAATGACTGACATCTGCTTAAGGATTTTTTAAAATATTTTTTTTGACTTTTTTTTAGAGAGAGAGGAAGGGAGAGGGAGAAAGAAAGAAACATCAGTGAGAGAGAAACATCAACTAGCTGCCTCCTGCAGGCCCCCCACTGGGGATCCAGCCCACAACCCCAGGCATGTGCCTTGACTGGGAACCGAACCAGCAACCTTTCAGTGCATGGGACAAAGCCAACGAACTGAGCCACGCTGGCCAGGGCTATTTAAGAATTTTAATTTAGGTAATTTACATGAACAGATTTAAATGTAATACACATAAATTATGAAGTTCAATGTGTTATTTTCTTGTATATGTATATTTATACTTGTATGAAACATTTACCTTTTAATCATATTGCCTTCCGGTTCTCTGTATTTGGACTCCTATAGTGGCATCAAGGTTTGCAAGCTCCTTTAAATAATAATTATTCTAATGTATTGTAGTATATTAGTAAGTATAAATACTCCAAAGATAATAGCAGTGTATACTTTGTTAATTTTTTAAATCAAGTATGAGGAGGTTTGCTGCAAATTAAGAACATATTTATTCTGAAAAGCAAATATACTCTACTTTTTATAGGTAATTTTCACTCTTAATTTTGGAAGATTAAAATAATGCAGAACATAACCATAAATGACCAATCCTTCCCTAATTAAAAAGAGCAATAAAATTACAATATAAGCACAAAATGTGTCTATGTTAGAGATCTCAGCTCCTGCAATATAAGTTTCTATATGAGTGCGCTTTCTCCAGTACATATATGTACATAGTGTTTTTAAAGATGGTGTGTTTTTTGCATTCATCATCAGATAGAGCAGGAGGGAGAGAGGAAGAGAGAGAGAGAAACATTGATGTGAGAGAAACACATCAAGTGGTCGTCACCCACACTACCCCAACCGGGGCTGGGGACAAATTGCAACGGAGGTATGTGCCCTTAGCAGGAACCGAAACCATGACTCCCTGGTCTGCAGGCCGACACTTTAATCACTGAGCCAAACCAGCCAGGGCTGTACATAATGTTTTTAAAGAGTAAATGCTTCATTTAATAATTCTTATAAAAAAAAGAATTTGTGAAATTAAATTTATGTTCTTGCTTTTTTAGCTTTTTAATGGTAATTGCAAATGCTAGATAAAGTTTTACAAAATTTTTTGAATATTTGATACTTGAACATATATTTTCCTCTTTTGTTTTACTTCCTTACTGCCATCATTTCTTTCTCTTCCTCCTTTCTACCTCTTGCTTACTCAGGGATTTCTCTCTCTCTTTACCTGTCTTTTATTTTAATATTCTATTAATAAA